GCTTTGTCTCCTCTCTCTCTCTCCCCCATTTATTTTCACCTTCTAAATTCAATTACAATTTGGACATACAACTCCTGGGTGAGAAATAAGTTTTTTACTTTTTTACACTGTTCCCTGACCTGCTGGTGTTTGTCGGTTCACTGACCCTTCATGCCTCTCATTACCTCTGAATTAAAGAACACCTTCTTGAAAGATCTCTTCACCCTTGTCACCGTATGGTCAGGCTTTATCACCAAAAAGGATGTCAGGATGTCTGGGTTTTTTGGTTGTATTCTGCCCTGTAACAGCAAAGGGCTGTTTTCTAAAATGTATTTCGGACATTGCTGATAGCTGCCTGAATTTCAAAGGGCTGGGAAAAAAAAGCAAACCACAACAAACCAGAGATGCAAGATAAAAGCAAAATTTTAACTTCTTCCATAAAACCTGCAGTTACAAAATAGATTTTGTGACTCTTCAGAAACCTTAAGGAATTGAGGTTTGGGGCAGTTTTGTGCAAGCTTGTTCTGTAAAGGTGAGAATTGTACGTTTTAGTCTTAGCTCTGCTAAAGAAGCAGTATGTGGCCTTAATAGAATCTCTTATGTGCCACCATTTGCTCTCTCTATGCACACGGACACACCACACAGCATGTCTTACAGTTCAGACCATCAGGTAACAGGTGCTGTGTCACTACAAGAGCTAAACACTACTTTTTACTGCTAGACTTGCAAGTTCTTAAAGTATCATTGAGGGAAGTGGCTTAAATTGGAAGCAAAGGTGCTGAAACTCCGATAACCTCTTTGTGATGCATTGTGGGCAGTAAGGAGCTTACTCTTTCAGGTCTTCAAGACAATTCAAAAGTAGATGGTTGCATTGCCACAGAGATGAGTATGAATTAATATACCTCTTTTTCCAAGATGTATCACTGTGCTAACATAGTCACTCATGGTGCACAGTAACCTGTCTACCTCTAGGAGTGCTGGCCCAGCAGGCTTGCAGCCAGCCAGAATACGCAGTATAGACATTAATTACAATGGTTCCTCTGTGAGGTTTGCAATGGATTTGAAATAGTCACCCTCACTGAACCTTTTAATTCGGTTTCTGATTTGCAGAATCAGTGTATTGCGAAGGAAGGAGTGAGTGGAGAAGAGGCCTGAAAAGGAAGGAAAAGTTTAACTACAGTTAAAATCAAGGATAATTCAGGAAAATAAGGTTTGCTGGCTCGCTGTCCTGAGTATAGCAACATAAATGTTTCAAATCAGTGACAACAGTATAGAATAAAAGAATTTGCACTAAATGTAGTGAGAGAAAGTCAGTAGTGAAAAGGACAGAACATGCCAAGGTTAGATGAAATTCTCGTGGAATCACAGCAAAGCAGCTAAACCAGATGGTTTCTTTCCCTTTGCCTCAATAAATAGCCTGTCCCTCTACCAGTGCTGTTTCCAATGAGCATAAAAATCAGTGGAATCCTCTCCACTCTGCAACAGCCCTTTATATATCAAAATATTGCTGTTTCTTCTCTCTTTGGTTTTCTCTTCACTGGAAAAAACCTATTTCATCTTACTCAGTTTTTTCTCATAGGTCTTGCTGTGTAGATCTCCACTTGTTCTTGTTGCTCTCTTCTGGACTGTTTCCAGCAGGTTCATATGTCATTCATTCACAGCACTTGAGGCTTTACCTGTACCTCACCTAGAGGCTAAAGGGCTACTTTATGTATTCTAAGTACTTTATATATTCTGGTATGTTTTTTATTTGCACTAGTTTTAACATGAGGAAGGAGAAGCAAGTGCTTTTGCAAGTAATCTAAACTTACTCATTCATATTCAGACTAACACTCAAAGTGAACGGGGGGAAATGGGCTAGACCTGGGTTGCTACCAAACTTAACAGAAGCTGTGAATAAGGAGTGATTTCCTCCCACAGAAACAGTGTAAGAGGAGAACCAGGAAAATGACAAGAGAAAGAGCAGCAAATTAAAAGTGAGATTCTCTCAGCCAAAGGCATCAGAAAGATCAAGCAGTACAAGATTAAAATGGTTGTGCCTTGATGTTGGAGCTACAATTCTTTTGCTTCCTCTAACATGAGACCCATACGCATCATACAACTGTTAATTCAGATGAGGTGTTTCTAAGTTGGATTAAGAGGTAATAGAGGCATGCAGTCCCATCTGTATCTCTAGACTGACTGTACTGTGATTGCTTGCATTCAGATCAGGCTACTGGAGGGAATCTTACTAAGTATCACTTGTTTAATTGTGCAGTTTTGGCTGGCTTGATGTGGAAAGAAACAGAAAGTAGAGTGAGGATTAAAGAGGGAGCTGAAGCAGATCGAAGTAACCACGTGGTCGAAAGGACTTATTTTTATTTTCTGTTATGGAAGGTATATTCATTTTGCTGTGACTTAGACATCGTGGTAAAAAGGGGCCCATGTATTATTCATGCAGCAACTTTAGCAAAGCTCTTCAAATGTTATATTTCAGGGTCACTGTGAGTACTTTTGTCCAGCACACTCTTTCCAAGGATTTACTGTAGCAGCATATTTTGTTTTTTCCTTTAAAAAGTGTCTCAGCAAATGTGAACAAAATATTTTAAAAAGATAAAAGCTATAGGAGGAGCTCAGGTAGAGCAGAGAAATGTCTTATTATGGCCATGCAGTGCTGATCTGTAACAATTGAGGCTTTGAGCACTGAAAACTTTTAATGCCCTTACTTCTAATCTAGTGCAGTGCCTCTGTGGGGAGGGAACTCTTAAACCTGCACTTAATTCTGAGAAGTTGTACTGAGGCATTGAAGAGATTTTTGTAAAGAAGGATGTCAGATATCTGTTTCTTTGCCCTGACTATTGAGTTACTGAATTCTGAAATTAGTTGTCTACCTGTCTAGTAATATAATACTTTTCAGTCACTGGATAATTACCTCTGCAGAAAGAACAGAGCAAAGCATTATGCCCATCCTCCCATGTGCCCTAATTTCTCAGCAGGTTTGTGGAAGACTACAGCCATTACCAGCAGTACAGTGAAGCCCACAAAAATGGGTCACCCATGTCACTACTGAGTGCCCTGTTTCCAACATGTGACATTGTGGCAGTGTGAATAATTCCCTGAGGAAATATTTAGTTCAGATTGATTAGCTGGTAACTGTAACAGTTAAACCAATATGCTATTTAACATTTGTCTTCATTAAACTGAAGAGACAGGATGTTTATTAAAAAGGAGAATGTTTCTTCTAAATGAAAAGAAATTGTAATTCAGACCAAATGCCTGCCTACTAGACTTTCACAGCTGCTATGCTTGAAGTGAGGGGATTCAGTGAGAACTGGTTTTGAACAGCACTCAGGTGGTCAGCTTAGTCTCCAGGGTCCTGTCCTGAAGTACTGCACTGCAGTTCTTTCATGTAGCAGCAACTCATGTTAAAAAGTGCCTGGATATTAGGAAGAGGACAGTGGGCACACCATTCCATCTGTCTGCCTGGATGCAGATCCTGGATGACATACAGAGGATCCCTGGGGTTTTTTTCCCTCGCTCCCTGTGCAACTCGGAAAGCACTCAGCCCTGTGCTTCCTCTCACCTCTCAGATTGCTGTCTTCTCTAAATATCCCAGTCCAACATGAAAAGCTGGTTTAGTAGTTAAAAAACAGTTTACAATGGTGCCAAATGAAAAACTCCAATGTGAAGCTGTCCTCAGAGGGCTGCAAGATCTGATCTAGGGGGTAAAGATTGGTTTTTCTATCCTCTTAGCCTGGCATGTGAAGCTGTTTCTTAAAGAATTTAAACTATGTAATTGAGGCTCTTTGTTTTGTTTTGTATTTTTCTTGAAACGGGACTAATATGGAAATTTAAAGATCTAAGTGGTCCCTTCTGAAAGTTCCTAACATTGCTATCAGTATCATTCCTTTTTATAAACAGAACTGTTACAGTTCTAAGAAATAAAGTATTCAAAGAATGCACTCATAAAAGATTACGCATACAATGGAATTTTTTAGCCTCAATGGGAACAGTAGGCTTTGTGAGAAGTGTTTGTGTGCAATGAACAAAATGTTTAAATCAATTTTTAAGCTGTTGCTAATGAAACACCACCGTTTGAATAAGGGGCTACAAGGTGTGGGTCTTACAGATGCACAGTGTATCAGTTCCTGCCTGGCATATCAAGACCCTAGGGGTTTAGAATGTGAAACAAGTGTTCAAAAAGAACCATTCTAAAAGGGGAGGGGAGGAGGGAAAGAGCCTGAAATGCAGCTTGATGTGAGATTTATTCCCTTAGCTCGTGTTTTCTGTAGTTTCATCATATGATTTGGCAGTTCTGCAGAGCTGGTGTTTAATACATCATGTGGGAGTGCAACAGAGCCTTGGCCAAGTGACAGACCTCACAGAAGAGTAGTTACATGACAGTTCATACCTGTTCCACTTTTGTAGTTCAGCTTTTATTTCTTTTGTGGTCTCCAGTCTGTTTCTCCCATCACATATCTGATCTAACCACATCAGGGGTTTCCTTTTGGGATCATGGCTACTGACACTGCCCCTACTCAGATTTTTCGATGAATGGGGAAGTCAGGGCCTTCAGCTTCATCCTCCCTTCAGATACTTTTTCTGCTGCTAGAAGTGAAGATACCCTTCACAACTCAACCTCAGCATTGCTCAAACTCAGCAATACAGAAACACAGTTTAGGATTACTTGGTTATTCTGAAGTGTCCAGTGAATGGTTCAAATGGGCATGTACATTCTAGCCTGAGTTGCTTCCAAATCATTTCCTCAAAGAATTGTCAAAGTTGGTTGAGGCTGCCAAAAGGTTCATTGCTGGACAATATGGATTCTTGGTCTTGAATGGATAACTCTCAAGCTTAAAATGAATTTTCAGCATAGATATATGAATGTTTCCATTGCAGACAGACCTTCTCACAAACATCTACAAAACCTTGCCATCACGTGTTTATTTCACACGTGTTTATTTCTATTGCACACGTGTTTATTTCTACAAAGTTTCACGAATTAAAAGCAAAAAGAGACATACACACAAAAAGCCACCAAGTGCATTTAATAATTTTTTATTCAAGTGAATGTTTAGACTGACTGTTGCACAAAAGTTGCCTAGAACTGCATGGAGCTGAATATCTCTGCTATGAATTTATCTCTGGAATTCCCATAGGTTAGCAGAGTTTGTTACATACCATTTCAGCAAGGATAACTCACTAGAAAATACTGGGAAAATACTGCATCTAGCTAGACCTTTCTTTGGCCTATTTTTATTTATGGTGTTTTTGTTTAACTGCCACTGCATCTGGTGAGCACATTCAGACTGGGGAGACCAAAAAAAAATAAAAGGCATAGAGAGCAAGTGAGAAGTTCTTGGAATATTACAAGCTGCTGTGTGACTGGGAATGGCAAGACAGGCAGGCAGAAAGCTCCTCTCTCCAAAGCTGACACTACAGTGAGAAAATCTGATACTTATTAGGGGGTGAACTGACTGAAGGAATAACTTTGAAGTAAATGTTCAGTTGCAAACAAATACTGCAAACAAATGCTCCTCTTAGTTTCTTTTCCCGTTGATTATTATACCTTATGCTTTTTAAGATATTCTTTCTGAACTGTATTCTTTGAAAGTTTATGGTCCAGATAGCATTATGTTTTGTAGACCTAGGGGCTACTGTACATCTTAAAATTACTTTGGTCCCACTTAAACAATAAAACAGGTTTTTGTCTAGTTACAGTTTACATATGCCTGTATGCATTAAAAAGACAAATTATTTCACTATTGCATCAGCAACAAAGTTTATGTGCTGAATCCTCAGAAACAGCGAAGCCTGGTTTCCATGCTGTTCCTGTGCACCATGTTTTCCAAAGATGCTGTCTTCTGGCACATACAGCTCCTTCAGCCTCCAAATGTGTGTAAGCTGTTGCCTAAAACAAGAGGATGTATTGTCCTTAAAAAAAATGTGAGAGTAGAAAACCTCACCCTCATCCTTCACACATGGATTTATTCCATTACCAGGATTGCATAAACAAAGTGTTTCTTTTTCTAGTCTTCCTTTTTGTCTCCCTTAGAACTTAGTTCTCTGAAAGCTTTTCAAAACGGGAAAAAAAGCAACCCAAAACTTAAGGGAGCAGTTGAGGGGATCTAATTCACATTGACCATTTCTAACCTTTCCTTACCCATCCCTCAAAGGCCTAACCAGGACAAGAATTACCTTTAAATTGTATTCTGGCTGGATTCATGGCTTAGGGCCTGATTCCCAAAACCACTGGATAAAGAAGGTTATCTTTCTTGACAGTTTAGGTATTCTTAATGTGACTATGTTGCATGGTAAGCAACAATTTTTGCTTCATGACAGACAAAAGTAATGTTAAAAAGATTCAAACATTACCCATTCCAGTCAAAGTTGAACATGGGGGAAAAGAGAAGAGATAAACAAGGCATTAGTCCATGCACACATACCTGCAGGTTTCTGTAAGATCTGTAAGATCCATCTTCTTGTTATGAGTGCAGACCTAATAGATGCAATGAAGTCTGTAGAGTTCTTGTGGTGTGTAAACAAGTGCAGTCACTTGGTCAAGTGTTGCTCCTCATCCGCCCTCCACTCAAGTGCTGGTAGCTGCTTCAGTGACTGAAAGAAAAAATGGTCTGTTTTTTAACCCAAATGTGCTTTTTATTTGTTTAAAAAACATTAACAGCTGAGTTACAATGGTTTTGGGGTGTATCTGCATAGTAATGGTTGCTCCACCCAAACTCCAAGCCACAGGGGCTGGTGACAACTGGAACTGGCATCCATTTTGGTGCATGGCTGTGGTCTGGTGGTTCGGGCACCAATTCCATGCTCAAGCATCTGAATGGCTTCTCAAGCAGCACGTGTCCAGGCATCTGGAAACCCAGGCAGCACAAATTCACACTTGTCTGCACCTGAGTATGCAAACATCCCTTCTCATGCTGTAACAGCCTCAAAATTTCCCAGTTTCAGTGGAGCTTAGCAGCTCATCGTGAAAAGTTTGCAACTGTTTTTTTCTGACTTAATTTTCACTTAGCATCAGCTGAAAGCAGGCTGGCCAGCTTGTTAACAGCGCTTGGCCGCGAAGGGCTGTAAAAAGGAGGCTCTGGAGTGCTCATACAGGATGCTGCAGAGTTAACTGCTGCTTTTGAGTAGAAACCTTTCCTACAATCTCTTATGCTGCAACAAATAACGTTTGGGAGCAGAGGAGTCACAGAGGAAGGCCTGGCTGCTCTAGGAATCGTTGCCACAAATCTCCGGTGCCACCCGGCAAGGCCGGGTCACCGGTGGGACTCAGAGAGGCTTTCACGCAGACAGTTCCATGCTTGTCCCTTAGCGCTGCACAGACAAGGGATAGCGTGGCGCTGCGTAAACGAGGCAGGTTTAATTTGCTCCTTCCCCTGTTCTTACACAAACATTTGGTCACACGGGAAAAGCTGCCTTTCCGTACACGTGGGAAGAGACGTTTACGCAAACAGCCCCGCCTGCCACCGAAACAGGCGCCGCCCGCGGGCAGCCAAGGGGTGGGAGCACCATCTCCCGCGAAGGGCGGCGAAGCGGGGCCAGAGCGCGGGGTGACACCGGGGCGGGGGGCGAGCACCGGGACGCGCCGGGGGCGGCGCCGGCCCCGGGCACGCACGTGCGGCCTCCCGCGAACCCGCCAGGTGGCGCCGTCCCCCGCCCGCGGGCGGCGCGGCCGCTCCCGGGGCCGCGGGTTCGCGTCCCGGGGCTCCCGCCCGGGCGCTGCCGGGGGCTTGTCCCGCGGGAGAGGCGCCGGGGAGCCGCGGGCTCTGCCTCCCGCGTCGCCTTATCCCCGGCCGGTGAGACCGGCCCAGAGGGAGGAAGGCCCGAGGAGGATGTTCTGCCCTGGGGAGAATTGTTCCGTGTCTAGACAAATCCATGATGTGGGGGGAGACGGAGGAAATGATGAGGGTAGCTGTTCACCGGGAATACGCCTAATCTCCTCGCACCCTTACGGGTTTAAGTCCTGCAGGGCAGTCGGAGGAGATGGGGCGGCGTGTGTGCCGCTCTAGCTGGGTCCTGGGAGGCTGGAGATGGAAAATATTCAGCTGAACAAAAAGTGTCCCTGTTATTCAGAAAGAGAAGCGTGTCACAAGTGTGAATGTTCCAACAGGCTTTTCCCCGGGAAAACTTTGAAGACGGAGAAAGAGTGACATTATATAGAGACGCGAGGATGGGCGACCGGGTTCGGTTACACCTCCGCTCAGAATCGGAGCAAGAGCACAAAACTGAAAGGCCAAATCTAAAAAAAAAAATAAAATAAAATAAAATTTTTTTTTTGTAATCTAGCAGCCTGCCATGAAATGGAATTATTGTTCTCTTGGCTGTCATGGTGATTGATTGCGTTTTTTCCTTATCACGGTGAGAAAGCTCTGGTTTCTTATCAGGCTGCTGTATTTTTGTGTGTTCTATATGTTTTATTATTTGCTAGTTATCATAAGAGCTGAATTAAATAAAGCTTGATTACTTGACAGTTGTTTACATGTATACGGAATACACTTTCATAATTTTTAACAAATATTGAAATATATATATGAAACATTAACTACTTGAGTCTTAAGACCCTGAGAGCTACAAGAATATTGCAGGTTCTTGTCTCGGTTTGCACTAATTTTACAGTGACTGATAAGCACACTATTGTATTTCTTAGAAAAATCTGAACTTCCCAGAAATGTCTGAGGTATTACAGTGGCAAAACAACTCAGTTTTGCAGACTTTTGATGATTTTGAGTTTGATGACAAACACAGATGCAATTGTGTAATGCAATGCCTAATACAGGCCCTCTTTAGTTCATTTGATTCCTCTGGTGCGTTTTTGCCCTTCATTGCTGGAGTTATCTTTCCTGTAACCATTCATAGGTAAGAGACTTGTTAGTACTTTTCACTATTAAAACACAATCGTGTTCATTTTGTCCAAGACAAGAGGCTTGAACAAGTTCCTGGGAACCCACCACATGGCCTCCCCATAGGACTGTGAGGAAGTTGCTTCTCTCTACCTTATAGCGGGCTCAGATGTAAACCAGGAATCGTGGTATCTCATCTGTGAGAGAGGTCAAGACTTGTAGGTGAAAAATGTGACTGTAAATTCAAACCTTTAGGAATAAATGAATTGGCCTTATGCTGTGTAGATAAATAGAATGAAAACCCCACCCTTTTGTGGTGACTGATCCAGTTTTTCTGAAGTCTTTTGGAAAAGAACTGACTTATTTCACATGTACAGAAATCTACACAAAGGCTATCCAAGCTTGTAAAGAGTCAGATGGACCAAGCTCACTAAAAACGTGCAAGATTCCAAAAGCACTCTGGAAAACTTGTTTTTCTTCCACTGGCAACACTGAAATTTTCATATCCCTGCATAAAAATTGTTTATCATGCATTAAGTTATTACTGCATGGCATCTATAAAAATTATTTCTTTTCTCTGATTACTCCAAAAAGAAGGATTAATTTTATCTATATCTAAAGTATAGCTAGATATACTTTATCTATACTATTTTTTGCCGTTGAAGCATTCAGTTTACACACTATGAACATCCTCTAATCAAAATAATATGTAACAACATATGTGATCATGATAGAATTATTTCGCTAACAGTAATTTCTATAACAGTTGATTAAATAGACTCCTGTTGTTTCCACAGGTTTTTATAATGAGAACAAGGCTGGTGATGATGGTTTTCAGTTAAAAGTACAGTTATTTTTGTAATTCAGCAAGCTGCTTCTTTCAGATACTCATAACTTTCAGAGCTCTCGGGCAGAATTATTACATTCTTGCTTATAGACAAGTAAAAATTTATCAGGAGATTTTCAACAAAACATATCCACACTTTATAAAGTCATACTGGTGCCAAGTATTAGAAACCGCAGCCACAGTGAAGAATGCTTTTACTGCTCCTACCAAAACATAAATGTGCACGTGCCTATCTTAACAGTAATTTAGATGTATGTGGTATAACTTGCCTTTTTGTAGCATTCACTGAGTCCCAAAATTTTGAAAATAGGTTTTAAACTTATAACTACTTGCTTAGATTTTTCAATACCCTATTATTTGCAAGTAGCGTCAAGGTCATAGGTAATACTATGCTTTAGCAGTGTCTCTGTATTTATTTTATCTTGGCATGGCTGGAAAATTGTAGAAGGGAAGGAGCAAATATAGCACTTTTAAAATGTATTCTTTGTGTCTCATGCTGTCTTGTTTATCTTCCCTCTGTCATATTTAGCTCTGATTTGCAGAGTGCAGAGAAATACTTTTGTGCGATTTAAGGCTTACAGGTTCTTTAACATGTTTTCATAAACACTTCAGGAAAGCTGTGAGTTTTGGTGCTGCTGCTGATGTACTCAGTTAGGAGACTTAGAAAAAGAAGAAGTGTTAGGATGAAAGCTCCCGAGTTTTGTTTCCCACTTGGTTTTCATCCGGACATACAAATATTTCCGTTAACACAAATAAATAAGCATCCCTTTGGACTGGTTATTACAACCCTTTCAAAGGGGGGAAGGCAGAATTTCATGAAAGGCTATGGGTGCTTAGGGATATATGTGTGAGGAAGGAATCAACATCTGAAATAGGATGTGGCTCTACCATAAGCAAAATTTTAACCCCGATATGTTAGCTGTTTATTTACCTCTAGGTAAAATTTCTTCTTCAATCTCTGCTTTCTTACCTGGAAATTGAAAAAAAAAAAAGATTGAAAGGTAGTATCAATCAGTTGTTTAATACAAAAGTCTTTTTTTTCTTATTAGCTCTTTTATGTTGACTGTAATAAGATGCCTAAGGAGGTCACCATGGTAAATTGTAAATTAATGCATTATATAATGCAAAGTTCAAGCGCAGTAAGTTTCAGTACAGCCCATGTATTTTTCCTATGTGGCTCTGTCCTCAAGTTTCAAAGAAATACGCATGCACGCCAAATTCGAAGAAATTTTTTTTGGAGCTTTCACACTGAGAAACTTATTCAACCTTTCCAGCAGCTTAAAAAGCCATGCTTTTGAAAGTTTTTATGTAGATTCCACTTATATTGACTTTATTAAAGTTGTTAATCATTACTTTTCCTTCTGGTCTGAATTAGAACACTGCCCTAACTGCAGAGCTAGAAGGTGGCTCTCTTGAATATCTATGCTATTTCTTTATTTTTCTTCTGCTGTCCCACCAGTGTCTCAAAAAGTCTGTTTTAGTATACTGTCTCTGCAGGGCCACCTAGTTTGCCCGTGGCCTGCAAAAGATGAAGCAGGAACACTGTAGTGACAAACTTGTTTCTTTTTTGTCAGTTTGCTTGTTGTGACTTTAACTGCATATTGAATATGTATATGCCAGTTTAGTAGCACCATGAAAGATTTGGTATTGTACATATCCTAGAAGAGCTGTCATAGCCTGTCCCTGCTTCATTTTGGTTGTGCTGCATGTGTAATTTCATAAATAAACATTTATTCACAGAATGTAAATTTGGCTGAATCATTCTGCATATGTGAACCATTTATTCTTGAACAGAGTAACGTTCCGTATTCAGTAACTTAAATATTATATAACCACTGCAAAGCTTGTCCATTTGAAGGGTAAAAGAAAACACAATTTTCTTCTGGCCTCTTTCCTTCATTTCCGTAGAAACCTTTTCAATTGTGACTCTGCTTTGAAACACAAAAACGTTAGCTCCATTTTATTCAACAGAGATTTAGCTTGTGTTTATCAAAGGCATAGTGGAAAAAAAAGTAACCATTTACTGCCTTTTGCTTCTGTTATCATTTAGACATGTTGTGTCACATGCAGCATCAAAGCTGTTTACTACATTTTTAGCATTTGCAATATAGGAGCAAATCCACTGCTGGAGGTAGTCACTGAGTCACGGTAAGAATACTTTCGTGTGTCCAACCTCTCTGGTACTGTCAGCAATATATGAGATACTTCACATAATTTGCATAGCATAGGCTGCGATTGCACAGTGTGTGAATGGTTATATGTAATTGTGAGTCACTGAATGCAGTAAGCAGGGAGCTTCATGGAAATACCGGGGTCCATTTTGCAAAACCAGCTGTGGTGACTAACTGCTGCCATCCAGAGGGATGTTGACAGGCTTCAGAGCTGGGCCCAGGTGAATGTCATGAAGTTCATTAGGCCAACAAGGCCAAGTGCAAGAATCCTGCACCTGGGCTAGGGCAATCTCAAGCACAAATGCAGGCTGGGTAGAGAATGGATTGAGAGTAGTTCTGAGGTGAGGGGCTTTGGAGTTAGTGGGTGAAAAGTGAAAAACCTGGAAATGTTTGCTCACAGTCCAGAAAGCCATCTGTATCCCGGGCTTCATCAAAAGCAGTGT